TTTGGTTTGGTATACAAGCTGTTAGGACTAATTAAAACTAAAAGCCACGAGCTTTTCTCAGATGCTACTCCCTGTAGCATCTCAAAAAAGACTTTTAATTTTTGAAAATCTTAAAAAATTGTCATGTCAAACATACAACTATGCTTTTAAGGAATTTTTGAACAATACAAAACTATAAGGCAGAGACTTATGCCTGCCAAATATAACCTTAGTTGATTCAGTCAATTTTAGTGTTACCAAACGTGCTCTAAGAGCCTTGCGTAAAACAAAAAGGGCTCTAAGAGCCCGTTTTTTTTCGATTTATCAACCTTATCAGCAACTTTTTATTGAATATGTAAGTTTTAATTTTTGGGCGTTCAGTTATGTAAATAAAAATAAATATGATTGTAATTATTTTTGTGACTGAATTGACTGAAATTGTTGTATTGAACTTTTTTTCATATAATGTTTTCTTTATATTATTAATAGAATACATTTTATTTATAATTTTGTTCATCATTCGACAGAATCAGGTAATCTTGACACTTCAATTAAAATTTCACTTCAATTAAAATTTCATAAATTTCTACAAAATCATGTGATTTCATTCAAGTGTTATCAAATGGGCTTAAATCAGTATGATAGCATGACAAAACCCATTGCTGGATTATTGTCGATATAATCATACAAAACTGTTTTTCCAGAATTTTCGATCAAGCTTCTAATAAACTTTGACTTTCTACTAGTCATGTAATAACTTTTCGATAACAATTGACAGACAATATAAACAAACACGCCACATTTTTTTGCACATAGATAAAATAAACGACAATGTGAACAATGTTTTAAATACACACAGATAATAAAAACGAAGGCACACACAATTATTGTCATCTAATAATTTCAGATAAAATTACCAAATACATATTCATTAATAAGGTAACATACTAAATACAAGACCATTACTTTATAAAATCACTATTAAAGGACTTAAATATTGATTATCTTGTGATGTAGGTTCACAAGGCTGGTGTATAGAGGAAGGGTTCTTTGCTAATCCCTAATTATCCATCTCCCTAGTTCATCTTCTTCTCCGTTAATTGAAGTTTCTGTTTTTTGTTTGTGCCTTGAAAGTAGATTCTCAACCCAACCTCCATAGCTGCTGATGGAGTATATGGCCCAGGAACCCCCGGCCCATAGACTCCTACTTCTCCCGCACAAGTCCATTAAGCCCAGAAAACAACTCAGGCCCAAGTGTAACGGCCCAAACCTCGAAATAACTCAGGCCCAAGGCACACTGGGATGCCTTCGGCCTCCTTGGCCGAAGGCTCCAGAACTCACAGGATAGCCTTTTTGGCGTGAGAAGCTGCTGGGAGAAAACGGGCGAAAACATGAGCCTTCGGCATTTTCATGCCCTCGGCATCAGAAAAGCCTTCGGCTACACAAGGGTCCTCACCACATGGAGCCCTCGGCTACACATGGAACCCTCGGCTACACAAAGAGCCCTCGGCTACACCAAGAGCTTTCGGCTGAACTAGCTCAATCATCGAAGATTCCTTTTAGAGACAGCCAACCACCGCATTTAATACCACGTCACATCCGCCAACCGCATTCAATGCGGTGGACGTACCACTGCCGGTGCCAACCGACTGATGTGACCCTTCGGCCGTTGGATTACTGACACGTGTCCTCTCATCGCATTTATTGCTGCTATAAATAGCAGCCCTTATTCTCCTTGTAAACCACGCTGAGTTCATTTAATAAAATCGACTCTCTCTCCTCCTATTTACTCTGACTTCTCTCTAGTTATTCCCACAATAACCCCTCGGATAAGATACCCCCCGGGTAGACTATCCATCAGCTGCAAAATTCGAGCTCAAGCAATAAAGGTCCAAGAAGGAAGTGCAAAGAGAGAAAATGTGAGAAAAAACTTGGATAATTAAGGTAATGATTCCATGATAACATTTTATTCTCTCTTTAAGTTTCATATGACCTTTTTGTCATATGAAGTACCCTCTACGATTATTCTACATGTTTAGAAGTGTAGAATGAGAGGTTGGACTTAGAGGTCAAAGTGACCGGTTCGCCGGAAAATAACCTTTTAAAAGTCATTTATGTTGATATGGATTTTGTGATGTTAAAACCTAGTTAGGAACTTGTCTAAGGTGTTCCTAGGGCTTCCACGTAGTTGGAAGATTCGCCGGAAATATCGCCGGAGTTCAACAAAGTTCGTCGGAGTTTCGTAGGCATTCAACCGAGAAAAGTAGAACGTATTAAAGCCTATTCGAGATGAGTGGACTACTACGTGTCTTGTAACTCTTGGGTCATACATGAGATTACCTAAATAAAATCATAACCATGATTTGAGAAATGATTAAATTGATTAAAATGCATTATTAGTCATGGTGAATATGAATTATGAAAGTATTATATGGTTATTGAATAAGAAATTAAGTTGTGGATTAATCATGAATATACTATTGGCAAATGTATAAAAAATGCATGCTTGGACTTTGTATGAGACTAACTAGAGTAATCTAGTATGTGAGTATGTATAGAAATGTTTAAAGGTGTTTAAACATGTGATTAACCATATTGATTATAAATTATGTGAAAGTGGTATGATTAATGAGTAAAGAATTATTAATATTCTTGATGAAGGTTAATCATGAATGATCATTTGAAAAATGACTAAGGGAATTCAAGATGGTATTCTTGCGAAGAATGCAAAGTACTAAATTATGCAAGTCACTAAAGTAAATCTAGTTTATGAGAAATAAACTAGGGTATTATACAAGGTGTTGATGTGCGTTTGAGTTGTTAAAGGTGTTGCCTAGCAAAAGAGCTCTTTCATGAAGTTTTTGTTTAGCTTTCCACAAACGGCTCCGGTGTTGAAGTTAAGTCCTTGCGCTCCAAAGGCCCAACATAGTCATTTGGGCTTTTATGGGATCCTTTATTGATTCGTGGATTGAGGGTGTGTGTCTCAAGCGATACAAAGGCAAAAGCAATAACAAGAAAGATGAGAAGCAAAATGGGCCAAGGTCCAGGGCCGGTCCTGAGAAAACGGAGGCCCTGTGCAAGAATAAAATTTGGGCCTTCCTTTCTTACGCAAATAAAAATAAAACATAAATAAAAATGATAATAGTAAAAAATACTGATAATTTGTGTTAAATTAAAACTTTTAATTTTGCTGGCCTAATTAATTGGGCCAATAAAAATGCAGAACACTAGACTACTAATAAATACTATTACTAATTTTTTTTTGGGCCCTTCATTTTTTCGGGCCCGGTGCGGTCGGACTGCTCACTCCCCCCAAGGGCCGGCCCTGCCAAGGTCTATTATGGACTTAGAACGATTACAATGCATCCTTGCCGAACCCGAGCTCCTACCCATTTCCACATTGAAAGATTACAAAAATTAGAGAGAAGTTTGTGCTATAGTAGCAAGTTTGTCAACTCTTTGCAATTAAATAAATGATAATTTATACTACAATGTAGCAGATGTAACAGATGATGAGTCGATCCCTCAGTGGATAGCATCAACTATAAACCCTCCATATCTAGTGCATTAAGACCATTTGTAATGGTCAAGAGTCCAAATTGTTAAATTTGGACTCCGTCCATATGAAAACAGTGTTTAGACACCTTCAATATTATTTTTCCCTACATCCGTGCACCGTCAATAAAATACACTTTGCATATGTTTTACATATGAATTTAGTAAAACACTAATTAAATTATTATAAGTCATGTTTCACTTTTATTTTTTCCCCTGAATAATTATGAAATAAAAAATACACATTTTGATGTAAATATAAATAATTTTTACGACTTTTTTTTTAACATTTTTCGGTTAAAAAAATGAAATTGTTTAAGTGAAGTTCGATTATAGAATATGGATGTCATATGAAAGATCATAAAAGTTTAAGAATTTTGATATATTTTTTGAAAAATTTAGATGACAAATAAAAAAGTTACTCCCTCCGTCCCAGAAAATTCTTCCAAGTTTGACTTGGATCGGAGTTTAAGAAAGTGGGAATAAGGTGAAAATGTGTGGTTGTAGTTGTGTAAGAAAAAGGTGAAATGAATGTGAGCCACACAAATAATCAAAAAGGTGAAGTTGGAAGAATTTTCTGGGACGTCCCAAAAAGGAAAGTTGGAAGAATTTTCTGGGACGGAGGGAGTATATAAGTTTAAAAAAAATTGGGATATAATGATGCAAGAGTGACACCAACATGACATCATTCTCACCAAAAGAAAACATGCAGCGGTGCCATTCTTTTTCTTTTTTTCTTTATTTTTTCTTTTTTCCTCTCTTCTAAATTCACCCTCTATATTTAATCCCCTCCATCCCCTTCTCCATTTTTAATACCCCTTTTAAACCACCATTACACACAATTAGGAGTCCAAAAGTTCCATATTTAACATTTTGGACTCCTAATACCTCATCACTCCAAATGGTCTAAGGGGCTATTTGGATCTATTCTGCTATTTGGATCTATCTCTGATGTTCTAATTTACTCCTTGAATAAGTTTTTTAGAAGTAGAGATATCAGCTTCTAAAAATTGATTCAAATTAAACTTTTTCTTTAGAAAAGAATAGAAACAAAATCTATTCCAAACATCTCCTAAATGTGATTCCAAACATCTCCTAAGGGTTGGTTTGCAACTCCTTTTAAAAAAGCACTTCTCAACTTTTGGCTTTAAAAAAGCACTTATTTTCCCAAACACTACAACTTTATTTTTCTCGGTTTCCGCATCAAAAGTGCTTTTACTTTTTCTATTACACAAAAAGCACTTATTTACCAAACACTACCCACTTTTACTTTTCAAAATCACTTTTTTCTCAAACACTATCAACTTTTATTTAATCACTTCTCCTCATTTCATTAAAAAAAGCACTTTTTTAAAAGCAGAAGCTGTTGCAAACAGACCTTAAATGTGATTTCTGCCATCTCTACGTCATACAGTCAATGAGAGCAGAGAGACACCAAGCGGCAGTAGTATCCCACGGCCCCACGGGTGATAATTTCGTGAGTTTTTAAATGATGTTTCAAAATATGCACTGTTTGAGATAGGAGAGAATCTGGAATCGGTTAAGAGATGAGTGAGCTGATGGTATTATCCAAACTCATCAATACACCCAACCGTAGTTTCAAAAAGGTGGACAATTGAGATGCTAGGATGTTAAAAAGCTGTCTAACACTCGCTCGAAGCATAGCGTAAGGGAGTCCCTTCCTTCAAGGTGGTAACCCTTATCAAATGGAAGACATGGAAGCGCAGAGCTTAACTGTAACTTCATGAGTCCCTCATCTTTATTTTATTCATTTTTCGTTTACTTTTCAATTTATTCGCATTCTTTTCATTAATTTGGCCTCGTAGTAGTATTCTGCCTATATCCTGTAGACTCGCCAATGAACTCGTTTAATCTTTCTCAGCTTACTTATACTCGTATAAGTTTTCTGATCTTTAGCGGTAAATCTAAGGAACGCAGGTACTCCAGAATGAGAAGTAACTGTATGTTTGCGGGTTAATTGGTTGCTCCATAGTGTGAAAGTTTTATGAAGTGTTTAGAATTACCAGCTTCAATATCACAAGAATGTTAGTACAGATGGGGTAGCATTTGTGCTTCTTGAGATCTAAATGTTCTACTTCTAAGCTACTTTCAAGTTTTTTGCTTTGGCCCAATTTTTTACGTTTGAGAATGTAGTTCTATAATTTAAACAAAATTGCAATTTGACATGTGTTGTCATTGAATAATTGGATTTATCAGGGTTCCATAGAAAGTCAAAATTGTGCCAGGCCAGAGATTCATGACTGTGTCATCAAGCTGGTGAATCTTTTTTCCTGGCTATACACATACACATCTATATGCAGTGTATTTGTTTGATGCGAATGCCAATGATGCAGAGGGAGAATCCTCAAAGGCGGAAAAATGAAGTTTTTATTGGCTGTGGTGCTGGTTTCGGAGGCGATCGACCATTGGCAGCCCTAAAGTTGCTTCAGAGGGTAAAAGAATTAGACTATCTTGTATTGGAGTGTTTGGCAGAACGTACCCTTGCCGACCACCATCGGTCAATGAAGTCTGGTGGCAAGGGCTATGATCCCCGTAGTATGTTATCTTATCATTTATGGTGAATTAATTAAGTATTCTAGTAAAATTTCATTCCAACACAAATTCGTCTAGCATCATTTATGCAGTACTGGATTATATTTGCTCAACTTTTAGTAAGTTTGAGAGTTTGAGTAATTTACACAGTATCTGAATGGATGCAATTGCTCTTACCCTTGGCTGTCGAGAGAGGAGTTTGCATTATTACCAACATGGGTGCAAGTGAGTTTATCCTTTTCGTTTATGTTTTTTCGCTGTTTTTTAATAAAAGAATTTGCTTGGTAATCTGTGTTTTTGCAATTTCAATGAAGAGAATCCTTCCTGTGCTCGCGATGAGGTCTTGAGAGTTGCAAGCAGATTGGGCATCAACATCACTATCGGTTTGGCCTATCAGCATAGAGTCTTGAGATCAGGTAATTTCTCATGCACAGATGATAAAAAGGCTACAAATAAGAGGACTTAATATCTAGTATCTGCTTGTGACTTCATTTTACCCCCTTTTTATGACTTGCAGGTTTAAAGGATGTTCTGAGAGATGATGATGCTGTAAGGTTTTCCTAACCCTTTGTGTACATCACACAATGTTCTGCACCTTTATTTTACTTTTGCACTGTTTTTACTCAGTGATATTGTGTCATTGAGATGCATTAAGAAAGAAGGGATTATTATCAACCACACAATTCTTTCTGTATAAGAGAATGCGGACAAATTTCTGGGCTGATCCAAAAAGGAAAATGTGAAAAACATTTTGTAACAGAGGGGAACGCTTAAAATTTTCAGTAACTAAAGTAGCTTTTTCGAATATTTAGTTCAGTCAGATTGAGCATAATATCTTCGTTGCTATTATATTTCCATTTTAATTGTTGATTGTGTTCTTTTTATTTCTTTTTCAAAGCAAGGACAATGCTGAATTGCTGATATATTACTTGAAAACAGGAAAAGTTAACCCTTTTTGAGTGCCTGATTTTATGCAGGATGTTAGTACGTATCTGGGAGCAGCTCCCATTGTTGAGTGTCTTGAGAGATACGGACCAAATGTTGTTATTACTTCTCGAGTTGCAGATGCTTCCTTGTTCTTGGGTCCAATGGTATGAACTTGAATCGTATTTTTATAATAAGAAATTGCTCCAAATAGGAAAAATAAAAAAAAGACAAAGTGCACAAATAAGAGTAACAATGTTCACAAAGTAGGACTTTTTGATCCTATTCAAAGTATAAAGTTTTCCAATCAGGAGTGATGAGTCCTATTTTAGGAAGAAAACAATGGTGGTCTTATTTGTGCATTTTGTCTATGTTTTAGTCCTACTTAAGGAATTTGCTCTTTTAAAATCTTCCTTTCCCGAATCTCTGAACGTTACGTATAAACAGGTATATGAGTTGGGCTGGAATTGGGATGAAGTGAACCTGTTAGCCCAAGGTTCACTGGCTGGCCACCTGTTAGAATGTGGTTGTCAGCTCACTGGAGGATATTATATGCATCCAGGTGATATATTCATTAAGAAGTGCTCTTAAAAATCACCATTAGGGTCTGTTAGGAATTTGGAAAATTCTCGTGAAAGAAATATGGAGGAAAATATAGAGGAAATTTGAAAATGAAGGAGAGGCAATGGAGAATAGTAAAAAGATTGTGCCAAATTTAGCACCCTCACTGTCCCAAAGTAATTTGTCTTTGAAAGGTGTTCACACATTAAGAAACATTGCAAAATAACTATAATATCCCTATAAAACGTCCACATTTAATGCGTCTTTTTAAGGCACACAAGTATTTTATACGGGAATAACTAAATTGGAAATATTTGGATATCAGTACAAAGTCTGCATTGAATTCCTAAAAGGAAAATGCTTGTAGGGCATTATGAATTGACTAAAATGACTATTAGTTTGGAGGAGAGGGAGTAAATATTTGTTCAAGCTCGATTTATTTTAATTGTTCTACTATATAATGACTAAGAATCTAAATGTATATAAACTTTACAAAAACCGTTCTTCCTCCACATTTTCCAAATTTAGTCTTAGCATAAAAAACCGTTTTCTCTAGAACTTTCCCCCAACTTCCAAACATTCCTGGAAACCTATAAAGGTGGAATTTGCAGCATCACTTTGGTCTTGGGTCATTCTTGTACATATATATCGAGTTACTAATGTGACATTTGTGTAGGAGACAAATACCGAGACATGTCATTCCAAGATCTACTAAATTTGTCTCTCCCATTTGTGAGGGTTAAATATGATGGTTCAGTATGTGTGGCAAAGGCAGAAAATAGTGGGGGGCTACTAAACTCTAGCACTTGTGCGGAGCAGCTTCTCTATGAGGTTGGGGATCCTGGAAAATACATCACTCCTGATGTGGTAATTATTGTCTTCATTATCTTCTATGTACCATCTGGTTTGATAGCATATATGAATAACAAGGTTTGAATCCCTCGTCTTTCCTTCCGTACAGATTGTAGATTTCCAAGATGTTATATTTCAACCACTGTCGAAGAATAAAGTTCTCTGCATTGGAGCGAAACCATATATACAAGCAGTACCTGATAAGTTGTTACTGCTGGCTTCAAAGGTACTTCAAATTTGTGCGCGAGAGTAATTGATATAATATAATACAGCAAAGGAGGCGGTGGTTCTCCCCACTTTTGCCCCTTGTTTGGTTAGGAATTTTGGAAATGGAAATCCTCCTTATTGGTGCTATTCCTATTAAAAATTCTTGTTCACTAGAGATGCGGTTGATGAATATTTAAGGGTTTACAAAAAAGCTGTATCTTCAAAAAAGAATAGTTAAGGGTCTTCAAACTTTAAAAATCTGATAACATAATATTTCTTCTTTTTCTTCTAACCTCTGCAAAGGAGCTGTATGTCTACTTTTTATTTGATCAACTATCATTGTGACCTCGCTATATCTTTGCATTTTATATTCGGTGTGTAAACAAGCCAATATGTCTTTTGCCATGTTCTGCAGGACCAGGGGTGGAAAGGCTGGGGAGAGATATCGTATGGGGGTTATGAGTGTGTAAAACGTGCTGAAGCTGCTGAATTCTTGGTGAGTAGTAGTGTGATGCATAGTTTTCCCACTTCCCTTGCCTTTTTGTTCAAACTAATATATATGCTTCTTCTAAAACTACAACTATGATTACTACAAAAAAAGGTTAATGCCACAAAAAACTGTTGGGCCCCGTTTGGTTGTCTAATTCGGGTTATTCTGCTCATGCGCATAGTTAAGCAACAAGTAGGGCATTTGACTTATTTGGCTGAAGTGGATTTTACCAAACACTTCCTCTTATATACAGGAGCATATTCAGTCACTTGAATCAAACAAGCCTTTCCAAATTGGCTCCACAAAGAAAATTCTCTTCTGAAATGAAACAAATAATGAGCTTCATTTTTTTTGAGTGCTTTTGACTACAGTTTTATATACTATCAGGTAAAATCATGGATGGAAGAAATTTATCCAGGTGTCAACAAACATATCATTTCGTACATAATAGGTTTTGATAGCTTAAAAGCAATGAGCATGGACAATAAGGCGGCAAGACATTGTGAGGATATTAGACTTCGGATGGATGGCCTATTTGAGGAAGAGGAAATAGCCATACAGTTTACAAGAGAATTCACAGCTTTGTATACTAATGGCCCAGCTGGTGGTGGTGGTGTCAGGTCTGTCTAAATCACTTTACACACTACTGCATCTAGATTTAAATATACAAACCACCAGATGTTGTTTTAAAATCAGGCTATTAAATTTGCAGTACCGGTTGGAAGAAAGAGCTTATTCTGGAGAAAGAATTGGTATCTCACTGTCTCTCTCACAGACACACATACCTATGGTCGAATGCACATGCACTCCCAATGGAGAAGAATGTCACTTCTCTTTTCAAAATTGTTTCATCATCTATGAAGATTAGGTTGGGGGTGTCTTTTCTCAACCGTTTAGGATGTTTTCTTTTGGACTGAAATTTGCTGGTGTGGTCTGATCTGGGCTGGTAAACGTCTGGTCTCTGTGTATTTTATAACTACGGAAGTCTGGTCTGGTCTGGTCTGGGACTGAAAACAGTCCAAAAGAAAACATCCTTAGTTAGTATAACTCCATATTTCCAGTTTAAAAGTAATGATTGAGTACTACATATCCATTTCATTTTATAGTCCATAATTTTCTCAATGGGTTGTCAATGCATATTTTCACTCGACTCCAAATCGATACCACCCCTTTTTTGCATGGCTGACCAATCAATAAAATATTAGAATATGCAGAATGAAGAAAAATAATAATCAAAAAAGCAAAAAAACTGAAAAGGAAGCATACATTTTGCAACTCTGATAGAGTTATGCATGGTTGATTTGGGTTCCAACCCAATGGAGGTATTGGCTGCGTTTGTTTTCTAGCGGGTTGATGTCTACCCGCTGCAAAATGCAGCGGTTTGTAGTTCAAATGAATTAGCGGATTGGGCAAAACGCTATTTACCAAACGGAGTCATTATATGCTATAGGTTTAATTGTTTCTTGTGCAATTTATACAGATTTCTTTTATTATATCGTTTATGTCAATTATACAGACTGAACACCAGCATTTTAGGTGAGTCGCGAAGATGTACAATGGGGCATCTCAGCGATGGGCATGTGTATCACTACATCAAGCGCACAGACCGATGACCTCCAGAAAGTTGTGCTTGCCAGCGATAAGCACTGTCATGAAACATTCTCCAAAGAAGAAGGCACAATCAGTGATTTTCGAGATCCACAGCTTAATTGCTGCTCTCCAGCTCCGTCTGGAACAATGACCCCCCTCTATGACATAGCCCACAGCAGGGCTGGTGATAAGGGGAATGACCTCAACTTCTCCCTTATCCCGCATTTCCCGGCAGATGTTGAAAGGCTAAAGATCGTTATAACTCCAGATTGGGTGAAGGAAGCTGTCTCACCACTTCTAAATCCCACGTCGTTTCCAACTTCAGATGATATTGAACAAAGAAACCAATGGGTCAGCGAGAATGTCAAGGTGGAGATCTATCAAGTCAGGGGTATTCATTCTCTGAATGTTGTAGTCCGTGACATCCTAGATGGTGGTGTCAACTGTTCACGAAGAATTGATAGACATGGAAAGACTGTATCAGATCTCATATTGTCCCAACATATCATGCTGCCTCCATGATCGGGGAAAGACAAAATACATTTATATCATGATTTTTTTTTTTGTGCAAAGCATTATTTTAACATGAAACTGGAACTCAACGATTTGTTATTTAAGCTATTTGTTAATTCTGTGTAAGTAGTGCATGAAGGGTTCTGGACACGGTCTTGGTTCTGAATTTGGCCCGTGTAGGTATTGCTCCACCCCATTCCCAACCCCCAATTGTGTCTGGACATGAACCAGCCATTGGCCATATGCCAGACCAGGCTGCATTTGCAATTGCAACAGGGCTGCCACAAACATTATTTTCATATACCATCTCTTGGGTCATTCACCTCTTGATTTGAGCATGACCGTAGTACCATGGTTTGTAACAATCCTATCTATTTTTCATTTGATCATTGTAACAAGTCTGATAATTATAATATTTCAAGGAATCAACTCTTCATGCATCATCACTCTCTTATTGGGCAGAATATGGATGCTGGGCAGCATGCATACAGATGACAGTCGGCTTCCTCTTGCTGTTACCAAAAAACACACACTTCCTCTTGCTGCTACAAAAAAACACACAACATTTGTATCTGTTTTTCTGTAAGAAAAATTCTTCCACCGACATCATAAAGGAAGAGTGAATTCCCTAAATAGGACTAAAAAGTGAAAAAATTGCACAAATAGGATTACATTTTTTAAATCCCCTTAATAGGACTATTTATGTGTGTTTGGACAAATATACCCTTGTAACTTGTGAAATGTTTTAATTAATAATAAAATCATAAAAAATTTAATAAAAATCGAAAAAAATACTAAAAATCGTAAAAAAAATAATAGAAAATTAATAAAAATATTTTTTTAAAAAAAAATAAAAAAAAATTAAAAAAAAAATAAAAAATAAATAAAAAAATCATAAAATTAAAAAAAAAACACATTACCACCCCTGCCACCCCCAACACCACCATCTCCCATCACCGGACAAAAATATGCCAACATTTTAAATAATGCCATAATGATGACATAATCAATGAAAATGTTGGCATATTGAAGAGTAATTATGCCATCTTTTTGGCATTTTCAGAAAAATATGGCATTTTTTACCAAAAGTGGAAGAAATTTCACCAATCGGAGGTGGTGGTGTTGGGAGGCGGCGGGAGGCGGTGAGAAAGGTATCCATAATTTTTTTCATTTTTTATGGGTTTTTACTATTTTTTTATTATTTTTTTAAAAAAATTAAAAAAATAAAAAATTAAATTTTCTATCTCCTCAATTAGTCTGTCTTTGGCAAACAACCCTTGCATGCACTGAAGTTTTGCCATTCTTATCATGGAATTACATTCAGTCCAACCACCCGACCCCTGCATCCACCTCTCCAACTAGACACTGGCAACAACTCCTAACTAAACAAATGTCCAGTAAATGGCTTGTTGTGTGCTAGCTGTGGCGAATTCCTTTGAGTTTTTTGTCCTCTATTTGGGTAACTAATCCTTCATATTGAGATTGCTTACTGTGCATACTATGATAACATCTACCTTGATTTTGATTTAACTCTTACCCTTTCTTTGTGGTCTACTAGATATAAGAACGCCGGGTAGTTCGTGAGAGATTTGTCTGAGCATTCTGATATTTCATTTTGTTTTATTAAAAATACAGAAATGACTACTTTCACCAAATACAGTCAAAAAGAAAATTACACTACTTTCATTATAATATGACTCGGCCCCTATCTTTTTGCATTTAATTTCAGAACCGGCACTCATGAGTTGTGACATTTAATTTCAACATCTACATGTGTTTGTTTACTTTACAAACTGCATCTTACGTTCTTTGTTCATAAGTAAAGAATAGTCAGCTTTTCCATATTGTTATTACCAGGTTCCCTAACACAAGTCAAGTCAACGTGCGGATAACACAGTGATTAACATTAATTTTGCATGCCCAAGAATAGTCAACTTCGAAATTTCCAGCCATTCATTTACCAACACAAAGCTTCATAAACACCTCTTTCCATCATTCCTTAATGCTGGAATTCAAAACAAAACAGCAGAAACCATGAAGCCTTCATTATGCAGTCTTTCATTCTTCTGCGTTGCTTTCTTTCTTTTCCCAGTATTGTCTTCTTCAACAGTGCTGTTCCAGGTACTTATTCTTAATGATTGTTTTTTGCCTTGTTTTTTAATTTTTCAGCCAAGTTTATTAGTGAATCTGTGAATGCCAATTCATTAACTCCGCGTACAGAGTTGGTTAGTAATATAAAAATCAAGGATGTGAACATTATTTGGCTCATTAACTCGGACGTATTATTTGCACGGAAACGGGAAAATCAGGAGAAAACGGGAAATGAGAAACATCATCTTTTACTCGAAAAACAACTGTTTGAAGAGTTTCCAAAGAATTTCTGTAGAGTTTCCGAAACGAAACATATTCTTTCTCGAGTTTCCGTGCTTTATAGCTCAAAACGCAGAAGTTAGTGAAGAATGGAGATGACATCCACAATTTTTAATGGCTGAAATAGCTGGAATGAAATATTTAAGTGTGTTTAAGTCATAGATTCTTCCTGATTCAGCTCATACAGTTATTTCAATTTTCAACTATCCGAGTCCAAGGTTTAACAATTTCAACCTACTTAGAAGTTGTTCTCTTCACCTGATCTGAATGTTTCTGATCTGAATTTTTTAAGTTCTGATCTGATCTGATCTGAATTTTTCTGATCTGATCTGATCTGAATCTTTCTTATCTGATCTGAATGTTCCTGATCTGATCTGCATGTTCCTGATCTGATCTGAATGTTCCTGATCTAATGTGAATGTTTCTGATCTGATCTGAATCTTTCTGATCTGATCTGATTTGAATATTTCTAAAAGTATAATTACAATTATAATTACTATAATTATAAATGTAATTACACATATATAATTTAAATATAATTATAATTATAAGCATAATTACAAAATTTTTAATTATAATTACAAACATAATTATAATAGGTATAATTATTTATATTATACGTATTACACTAGTTATAAATATAGCTATAATTATAATTGTAATTATATTTACAGTTATATTTATTTCTATAATTATAATTATAATATTCATTTCTATAATTTTAATTGTAATTACTCCGTATAATATGATAATAACGAAAACAAAACTAATAACAATAACAACCATATTAGTAGTAAGAATAATAATAATCATGATAATAATAAATATCATAATAATAATAATAATAATATAAATAATAATAATAATAAGAAAAATAATAATAATAATAGTAATAATAATAATAATAGTAATAATAATAGTAATAATAATAATAATAATATTAATATTAATATTAATATTAATATTATTATAATATTAATATTAATATTAATATTAATATTAATATTAATATTAATATTAATATTAATATTAATATTAATATTAATATTTATATTAATATTAGTATTAATTATAATAATTACAATAACAACAAGAATAATAATAATTATAATTATTATAATTATTATAATTATTATAATTATTATAATTATTATAATTATTATTATAATAATAATTATTAATATAATAAAAAGGATAAATCATGTCTGAACCTTTCTGATCTGATCTGAATGTTCCTGATCTGATCTGAATGTTCCTGATCTGATCTGAATGTTCCGGATCTGATCTGAATGTTTCTGATCTGATCTGAATCTTTCTGATCTGATCTGAATGTTTCTGATCTGATCTGAATATTTCTTATCTGATCTGATCTGATCTGATCTGAATTTTTCTGATCTGATCTGATCTGATCTGAATAAAATAAGAATAAGCAATAAGTAATAAGATTAAGACGAACAGAACAGCTTCTTAGCCACTTAAAACCCTACCAATGGTCTCTTACGGAATATATTTAGTATAAATTACTGATTAAAGGTGGTAATTTGCACTGAAATCAAATACTGATTTGATTTCAATCAGGGATTTACTTGGACGTCCATAAATCAACAAGGAGGATGGTGGAACTGGCTCTTAACCAAAGTCCCTGACTTAGCTAATGCCGGAGTCACTCATGTTTGGCTCCCACCAGCATCCAATTCCCGTGATGGGGACCCTCAAGGTATTTTCGAACTCTTAATCGCACTTTGGGACTAATTATAAGATAGATCCTGATATAGAGATCGTTTGATAACGCTAAATTTGTTGTGAAATGGTTGAGTCTATTTAGTTAAAAAATATATTTCAAATATATTTTACTCCCTTCGTCCCGCTATTAACTTCCTGCTTTCCTTTTTGGACCGTCCCAAAATGATCTTCTCATTTCCTTAAATGGAAAGTTATCCTACATCAAAACAGTGTCAAACAGTGTCGAAACAATGTACTCTACAGTAAAGTCAAATTTATTTCCTAAATATGTGTGTAGGTCAAAGTAAGAAGTTAATAGCGGGACGTAAGGCTGGCAATATCACCCGCACCCGCGGATATCCGGTCAACCCGAACTGAAAACATGGATGAAAAATGGATGACGGGTGGATTGAAAGACGGGTTGGATCGGGTGTGGATGAACACTCATCCAATCCATCACCCGACCCGTCACCCGCTCCATCCACCCACCCGCTAACCCGCATATAAAAATAAATATATATTACGTTATATATATATATGTGTGTGTGTGTGTATATATATATACTCGTATCTATTTAATAATATATAATTATAATTAATACGGAGTAGTAATGTATCACGGAGTAATAGATATGTACGGAGTATTTGTTAATGAAGAAGACATATCTATGAATTGGTGAAATAAAGACAATTTTAGCGTTTCAAGAAGTGGCAATTGAACTGCAAAACTAGTTTTGTGCCGATGCAAAAATGTAAAATTTGACTCCTTGAAAAAGTTTTATGTCTATTTTGTTTGACAACCAGTTCTTTCTTTATTGCAATGAATTAATGATTGTAATATACTTAACTGCTCAAGTTTTTGTTGTTATTATTCAATGAATTTTTAATTTTTGGTTTTTAATTGTCATTATTTCTATTTATAATTTATTTATTTTGTCTTTCAAGTTAGGCCATTTATATTCACCCGTTACTCACCCGATCCACCCGATAACCTGCTCATGATAGCAGGACGGGGGGAGTATTAATTAAATAAGGAAAAATTTATATAACAAAGAGCTATAATAGTCTTTCAATTCATTTACAAAAGTAACTTCTTAATTAGTCTAATTAGTAAACGGTTTCAACATGTGAAAGTAAAAATTTAGTGGTTAGTAAAAGTCAGGGTTACCAATCATAATTGTAAATTTGTGTGTTTTTCTTTACGCATTATTATGTCCATTTCGTTATTATAAATGTTCATTTTTCATGATTATATCTTACCCCTGCTCATTCTTCTCTAAATAGATATACTCATGAGCTTATTCCTAGATTATTATTCAAATAAATATTAGGGACAAAAACATCACTAAAGTTATTTCGTAGTATTTGTGTAACTTGATATTCACTACCGTAAGAATGATCATATTTATAGTCATTAAAAGTTACACATATGGTTATTTTATATAAGAAGTCACATTTTTGTTCATCGTGACATATATATGTCACCATTTCTACAAGTATTCAAATATAAAAATTGCTCATTTTCTACTTGATAAAGCTAATTCTGCAGTAATAAAACTTACAACATTATTTGAACTGAGCATGAGTATCCAGAATTTCAGATGCACAACATACATGCCACCAGTTTGGTACAATTTATTTGAGTTAAATACTTAAATAGTAATCCATTCGTTCTAAGTTGCTTGTTCCAAATGGATTTTCATGCATTTTAAGAAAGTGTTTTTATTAATTAACTTACTCTTTTTTCTGGTTGATCTGCAAGATTTCAATTTTGAGTATGGTCTTATTCGATTAGTAGGATTAAGTTTATCATGTATAACCTTTTTGATAGGGTATATGCCAAAAAGGATGTATGATTTGGATACATCAAAGTATGGGAACAAGCAGGAACTGAAGAAGCTCATTGACGCCTTCCATGCCAAGGGCATCAAGTGTGTTGCAGATATAGTCTTGAATCACAGAGCTGGCGAGAGAGCCAACACTGATGGAAAAATAAACCTCTTTGAAGGTGGAACCCCTGATACTAAGCTTGACTGGGGGCCATCCGAAATCTGTGGTGATGATGCCGTGTTCAGTGGCACGGGGAATCCCGACACTGGGGAGCCCTGGGGGGATGCGCCCGACATTGATCACCGCAGTGTAAAGGTTCAAACGGAGATATCGGAATGGATGAATTGGTTGAAATCTGAGGTCGGGTTCGATGGTTGGAGATTTGATTTCGTCAAAGGTTATGATTTCGTAAAGGGCTTTGCTGCAGTTAAAATTTATATGGACAACACGAAGCCGAACTTTGCGGTCGGAGAGTTATGGAATTCCCTCTCTCCCGGGAAAGTTCCGAAACCAGACTACAATCAGGTATCAAGGGAGTGTTTACTTCTACTTTGAGGAGTGATTTATGATAGATATTATATGAAGAAATGCTTAATACTATAGCTAATGGTGTTTAAATCATCTAAAAATGCTTATATCTTGCTTTTCTACAAAAGCAAATACCCTCACTGTTGATTATGTTGATGATCTATGGTTCTATCCAAAAGTACAAAGAATAACTCAAAATCTTACATGATGGTCTCTTTGTTGATATTTAGCCGATGTGAGACAGTTTTTTAATATAAATTACTCGACATCAGGACGCTCATCGCAACGAACTGGTGCAATGGGTAAAGAACGCGGGAGGTGTGGCAACCGCGTTCGATTTCACGACGAAAGGAATCCTTCAAGCCGCTTTGAACTCAACCGAGCTCTGGAGATTGAAAGATTCAAATGGAAAGCCTTCGGGAATGATAGGAGTTCTGCCTCAGAACGCCGTGACTTTCATTGACAACCATGACACTTGGTCACAGAATCTATGGCCTTTTACTACTGCCAACACAGATGAGGAAAATCACGCCAGAGTTGTTCAGGGATACGCTTATATCCTCACTCACCCCGGAATTCCATCAGTGGTAAGTTTTCGTAGTAAATGCATTTATGAATATAATGTCATGGACTCATGGATACGGGTTTAATCCGCATTGTCTCTTATCGCACAGTTTTACGACCATTTCTTTGATTGGGGGTTAAAGGATCCCATTTCCACATTGATTTCAATCAGGAAGAGGAATGGTATTACTGAAACAAGTGGGGTGGAGATCTTGGCTGCTGATGCTGATCTTTACATTGCAAAGATCAACGGAAATGTCATTGTCAAGATTGGGCCAAATGGTGATCTTAAGAACCTTGTCCCGTCTAATTATGTGCTGGCTACGAGTGGAAAAGACTTTGCTGTTTGGGAGAAACCAACATGAAGAAATACACCATCACTTTGAAAATACTCGCTCATATTTGCATTCTTGTTTTGTATGGAGTATTTGATATCTCAAGTGACAAAGAATAATGCATTCATCTATAATCCCATTAATAAATAATGATGCTTCTTTATTAGCATCCTAAATTTTTGAAGAAGCCCAACCTATTTGCTTTAAGATGTTTTTAATTGGACAATGGTTTCTTTTGCCTTCGAGTTGGAGCTCCATTCAAGGGTGGTATGTTTGCTTGAAATTGAAAATGCATATCCAAATTTTTATCAAGTTTGACCAGTCCATGTCATCTTTGAAATTCTATAAGTCTGAATGTGACCATTGCTTATACTTTAAAAATACTTCTTTTATGCCTGTATTTTTATTGCTATATGTGGATGATATGTTCATTGTTAGTCCTTCGGGTGATGCCATTAAATGTGTGCAAAAACGTCTCAGCGAGAATTTTGCAATGAAAGACCTAGGTGATGTCAAAAGGATCCTATACATTAACATTGTTAGGGATAGGAGTAAGTGTGTGTTAGTTCTCAATCAGATTTCATACATTGAAAAGATTTTGAGTAAATATAACATGCATTCTGCTACTCCCGTTTCTATCCCTATGACGTCTCACTTTGTGTTAAGTAAGTCTCATTCTGTGTTAAGTAAGGATCAGTCTCCCAAGACTGCTCCTGAAATTGCTAAAATGAAATATGTGCATTATTCTATCTCTCTCCTGTGCACAAATCTCAACCACACAATTTTTACTATTCAAATTTCCCATCTAACATCAACTTGGCAAAGTTGAGTGGGACGGAGGTAATACCATTTAGGAAATTTAAAATAATGTAGTTCTATTTGTGAATTTAGAGTATGTTTTACTCTCATTTAAGTAATTCATTCTTTATTAATAATTTGGAAATTTTAGTTGAGCTAGAAAAAGAGAAAAAAACTCTAACCACACAATTCATCATTTGCTACGAAATTTTAAGAGCTCTAAAAAAGAACATGAAAAGAAAATGATGGGATTAAAGGAATGTATAACACAATATATTTATGATGGATTTTATTTAAATCTAGCTAGTCCAAGTTTGAGTTTTCAGGAACCCTAGCTAGCTCTACTTCAATTCCCACAATTGCTACCAATCCTACCATGCATATATCAGGATGTTTTCTTTTGGACTGTTTTCAGTCCTAGATCAGACCAGACCAGACCAGACAAGATCAGATCAGACCAGACCAGACCAGACTTGGCTTCCGTAGTTATAAAATACACAGAGACCAGACGTTTACCAAACCAAACTAGACCAGACCAGACCAGACCAGACCAGCAAATTTAAATCCAAAAGAAAACATCCTAAATATATAAATATAATACGAGTCCTCCGTAGATAGATAGAATATGTAACTTTGACCCGGATAACCTCTACGACTAGAAAAATGACACAAAACGATAGAGAAGTAGAGAACCATAATATATATTCTGATACTCATACTTGAACTCGCCAGGATCACTTGTTTCTTATCTTTTGATCCCAAACCTATGCCTTGTGAATGCAATTCTTATTTTTCGAAGTAAATTTGGATTTTGTTTTTGTCATTTTGCGTATGTGGACTGGTCAAACTCTTGAGTGGCCTGCATTTTTGAACGTAACGGAGCTGTTACACAATCCACAATTGGATTATGCCACGCTAGCTACGTCTTCATCAAATGACAATTGGGCATCCATTTTTTTGTTTCGTTTAAACAGGATCACAACAATGGGATCGAGAAGAAGGGCCAATGGGTCCAAAAATTCTTTGGCTAAATTGTCCTAGATAGGACTAAATTGTTCCAGAAATTCCAAAATAGGAGTGTATATGTTTTATTCCCTAAATAGGACCGAATTACTCATTTACCCCTTATTTTCTTTTCTTTCCCTAGATGCACACGCGGAACTCATCGATAACTTTTCCCTGCGCCTCTATCTTCTCCTCCCAGATCTGTATCTCTTCCACATCCCTATTTCTTCTCCCAAGCAGCTTCTTCCACCAGACCACCACAACCTCTTCTCCTCCCCTTCGCACAGGAGCCCAGTCATACCATCGCAGCCTCTATGGTGAAGACTACCGCCGCTATGGTGAAGACCGCCGCCGCCGCCGCTATGGTGAGGACCACCGCCGTTGTCATGAAGTCAACCACCGTCGCCGCCGGAGTCTGTCTTCTCTTCTTCGAATGTCATCTTCTCTTCTCCGATTGTTCTCTCAATCCTTCTTCTCTTCTATTTCGTTGCTTTGTTTCTTCTATAATTATTCAAATTGCCAAGTTAAACTCTGAAATTGCCAACAAAATGGAATTATTATTCTACAAAAAAGTTGTATTTTCCTTTAAAATGCCACTAATTTGGCATTCTCAATTCAGGTTGGCATTTTGATAACAAAAAATTGGCATTCGCATATGCTAGATCTGCAACGGTAGATGGCAGATTTGCAGTAGCATATGCTGAAGTAGTTGTGATAGTGTCCGGATCTACAACTGCAGTGGTCGGTGGATGGTAGATCTGCCAAATCTCTGGCGTTTCCCGCCAGATCTGCAGCGGCTATAGGCATATCAGCAGTGGCGGCAGAGAGATCTGCAGCGGGGGTCAGTTCTGATGTGGCGGCAACCGGCGGCGACCTGCGGCGACCTGCGACGACCGGCGGGAAGTGGTGGGCCGGCGTTTTGATAGGCTGCAGCATAATTTTCCAGTTTCAAGGGCATTTTTGTCTAATTACAAATATTAACTCCTATTTATGACATTTTTATACTTTAGTCCTATTTTGACAATTTTATGCATTTACTCCTATTTAGGTAAATACCTCAAATTCTTTTTGTACACACTATTTTAGTGTACACACTTTTACACATGTCTAAGTAAGTTTTTTTTTTGTCTTTACAGAGAAAACGTGTTTTGTCTGGGGAGCAGACAAAACACATTTTGTCTGTACAGACAAAAAAAATCTTACACAAACATGTGTAAAAGTGTGTACAACAAAATAGTAGGGGTGGGTAAAAATACCGAACCGGCATGATACCGAACCGGACCGGTATGGTACTGGACCGATAAACGGGGTTTGAAACGGATCTCAAAATTTTTTGTCCCGAACCGGACCGAACCGGTTCCAAACAATGCCATGACCGGTTCTCATAAAATGAGAACTGGTACCGGAACGAACCGGATCGAAGAATGGTTTATTAAATTTGTACTACTATAGTTTATCTAAAATATATTAATTACCTCATCCGTCCCAAATTGATTTGCAAAGCCAACATTTTTTTTTGTCAAAGTTAATGTTAAGTTCTTGATAATTAATACAATTTTTAATAATTAAAATTTACATATTTAGAAACCACATTAAAATCTCTCTAAAGTTGCAAAATCCAAATTAAAATATACGAAGTACGGAGTAGTTTTTGTGAAAGGCTAAATTAGAATATAATTAAAAAGTGAAATTCTAATTAAGTGAATAAAAAGAAATTGTTTGACCAAAAAAGATTGACTTTGCAAATCAATTTGAAACGAAGGTAGTATGATATATGAAAATTGATAAATTGTTTGGATTTTTTGGAGGATGGCTAAACTTTAATTTTTTCTTAAACACCTGAAAAAAGTGGCATTGTTTGGTATTGATATGGCATGGTACCGTCCCGTTTGAAAATGGACCGTACCGAACGGGTTTGGGTCTAAGACCGAACCGTACCGAACCATTTCAATAGTAACGGTACGGGTACGGGTTCGGCCAAATATTGGACCGGGCCGGACCGTGCCCACCCCTACAAAATAGTGTGTACACCAAACTCCACTCCTTGGACTCTTGGATGATTAAATGTTGACATGGTATAAATAATACTACATCCGTTCTTAAATAAATGCAACATCTTGAATTTTTATACTATTCACATGTTTTACTTTGACTACGTTTTATTTATTAATACATTAATATTTTTTTATGAAAAAAATATTGTTAATGGTCAAAATATTAATACAGAATTATATATATTAATGGTCAAAGTTGTGTTTCGGCAATGTGTAATGTTGACTTTTGCATTTATTTAAGAACGGAGGAAATACGTAGTAGCTAGAGTATATGCATATATTTTGAGGTATTGTGTTTCAAGTCGGTAAGGTATAATATCTAATTGCCCTAATAAGAGTGAATTCCAAATTAAAGTAGGACAACCATATTTATATTTTATTAAATAATTAGAGAATTCCAAATAAGAATAATTACTATCATGTTGTAACATATCAAGCTTTAAATACGACAATATTTTCTAATTTTAATAGTAATTACTCTTATTTAGATAATGAAAACACGATAATCATGATACGGAGTATTTTGGAATCGTAAAATATTTTTACTCCTACACGAAATCAATTTATAAGATCCTACTTTTTACCAGATTAATTTTTTATTGTCAAACTTATCCTAAAGTGAGGACTGAGTCAGTGGGTGTCATTTAAAACGTTTTTGCTCCTATATTAAATCAATTATAGCTCGTTTACCGTTTGCTTGGTCTATTAATTCATGTTTTAGTAATATTTTTTTGTAAAGTAGGACCGAAACATGGATATGTAATGTATTAAATATAATTTAATATGTTTTCTTTCGAAAATAATATAATCCTACCCTTTTTTCTTTTTAACTAGTCATATTTGACTTTTTCAATCAATGATGGTGAACTTTGATCAATCATTTTAACAATTATGTAGTATATTTTTGTGAAACTTATAGATTTATAATTTTGTGATAACAGATTTCTTGCACTAGTATAGTTAAATACTCTGTATGACTAACTAAAAATTAGAGGTACAGCGAGAGTAAAAGTATTTTGAAATATAAATGCATTTATTCTACTTCGTATTAGGATGTTTTTTTTTTTGGACTGAAATTTGCTGGTTTGGTCTGGTCTGGTCTGAACTGGTCTGATCTGGTCTGGTCTAGTAAACGTCTGATCTCTGTGTATTTTATTCCTACGGAAGTCAAGTCTGATCTGATCTGGTATGGTCTGGTCTGGGACTGAAAAAGTCCAAAAGAAAACGTCCTAAAGTTCTAAAATTATAAGTACCATATATAGAGCGAGTATCTTGTGGGAACAAAAACTATAGTCAATACGATATAATGTGAAACTAGCTTTTACTTTCATATCTTTTCCGGCAGTGGCGGAGCCAGAGGTTTGTCCAAGGAGGGGCAAACTGAAGACTAAAAATTTTAAAGTGCGTGTCCAAAATATAATAAGAACAACAATGGCGTAATTAATTAGCAAAAAAATTATAGTTCATTACATGCTACTTGATTTACTTTTGCAACGTAGGCAAATCAATCCTACGAGTTTCATATTTTTAAAATGCTGCATAATAGCTTCATTATCAATTGCTTGAAAAATGTCTCTTTCGATGTAGCATACTAAACAATCCGTAAGATAGTCATCTCCCATCTTATTGCGAAGATCTGTCTTGATAATATTCATCACTGAGAAAGCTCTTTCAACTGTGGTTGTTGCAACTGGTAACACTAGAGCCAACTCAATAAAACGATTGACCAAGTGAAAAGATTTGTGAATTGTAAGCTTAACCATCTTCTTAGACACTTCACCAATACTTTGTAAAGTGGAAAATGCTTCATTCCCTCTCATCTCATATATCCAAACTTGGAGTTGTTCTTTAAGCTCCATTTGCTCAACAACTGAAAAATCAGATGAATACAACTCCGCAAGACTGAGGAGACTTCTTCCAGTTACGGAATCCGGTCCTCACAAACATATCATCACCAAATCTCTTTCCTTCTTGCCCATGAAAAAGGTAACACCAAAAACAGAAAGCAGCATCTTCAGAAATACTATATTCCAACCATTCCCAAGTTTTAAACCACTCTCCTCGAAAGCTCCTTAATGACTTTCCAAATTCAGTTCGTGGAAACTTATGAGATGCTGGTTGACAACCACCTTTAACAACATATGCTCTCATCACATCATCCCTAACCCCCGGCGCATATTCATTAATTGGTTTTCGTAAAAATGGATCACTAATAATATCCCATTCATGTGTACTTTCTGTTCGGGCTCTCTTGTCCCTCTCATTCCTCTCATCTCTAGCAATATTTTCATTTGACGTAGTGGCATTTCCAACACCGGAGATAGACTGATTAGGAACAATTGAAGAATTAACACTTAATCTTAAAATAACCTTAAGTTGTACTTATTGTTTTTAAAAAAAGAAGCCGGGGCAAGAAACATCTTATAAGTAATACTAGTAAAAAAAATTGGTCGGAGCGGGGGCGCTTGCCCCCCCTTGCCCCCCCTAGCTCCTCCACTGTTTTCCGGCCATCTATAATTTTGACTTTTAACATATGGTTTCCTAGTATGTTATAAGCAACCTCATTCCTCTGAATATATAATTAAGTCTACAACTTTGTTACGGAGTATTTATTTTTTTTGTTGTGTCAACAAAAATGTACTCGTTAAAAGCAAAACGTTGGAAATGATCTCTTAGATCAACTCCAATGCTATAATGTCTACGTTGCATATGTGGCATGAATGATAGCCACAGAAATATTAGCAAATAAATTATTGATTTTCTTATTTGAATGATTTTATACAATTTTGTTAAGTTTTTCCCTGCAATGTCAACAACAATGTTGACATCTAGACGGTCTCCATGACAGTGTGGAGAAAAATTTACCAAAACTGTATAAAATCATTCAAATAAGGAAATAAAGGATTTAGTTACTAATATTTATGTGGCTATTTGTCATGCCACGTGTGTACCGTGCACATTTTACCATTGGAGATGCTCTTAGTGTACTTTCTTTTAAAAAAACTATCAAAGTCGGTAACAAGAACAACACACACAATGTTACATTGTTACCTAATCAAATGCTAAAACTATATCATGTGTTTTCACTTTTCAAAGTAAGATGTTTTTAGTTGGACTAGTTTGAATCCAAAATCAGATTTTGAACAAAGTATACAGATCATGTCATGTCATATCATATCATACCAGATCCGACATCGACAATTGAAAAATACACATTAGAAAGACATCTACCAATCCAAATCAGTTTAGACTAGACTTAAACAAGTCAGATCAGATCAGAAAGAATAAAACTAAGTAAAAGGGAGAATTGCAATTTTAATCCTGTAGCTTTCAACCGTATTCGTTATTAGTCATGTAACTTTACTTAATTGCAAATTAATTTGGTCCACCGGTAAGTAATAAATTCTTGCAATTTAAGGACTCTTCCATCGGAAAGTATACTTTCCGGCAGAAAATTCGACGCCGGTAACACTATTTCTGGTAAATTTACGACTAGAAAAATATACTTTCAGTGAGAGTCCTTAAATTGCAAATATTTATTAGTTACAAAATCAATCTGCAATCGAGTAAAGTTACATGACTAATAACGAATGCAACCGAATGTTACATGACTAATATTGTAATTTCCCCCTAATTATATGTTTGTAGTGACGGAACCTATTTTTTGTGAAGGGGCACCGATGGGTATGGATCGAGAGTCGATACAGTGATCTTGTTAGTCAGGTCTTCACATTGAATTTTGGGAAAATGGAAACTAATAATCCAACCTTTTAGCTGTCTTCTTACAATTGTCCCACCTTTTCGTTATTCAAGAATAATCCAATCTTTGCACCCCATCTTCATTCGACCATCTTCATTCGATGGTCCCTGAACGGTTAATGACATGTTATTTCAAGTTATTTTCTTATCTTTGCAAAATATTATCTTTGTGAAAGATGAGATTAATGGTATAATGG